ATTACAGATCTCGGACTTTGTGACTTTCCCTGAAGATCGTTTGGCTCCGAATCTGACGTGGTCTGATTCAACTCCGTCTGGCATGAGAATGGCAGAATAGAATCTGATGAAGCGATGGGTGTCAGTGAGAAGGGCATTTTGGGCACCCCCGACTTCATTTCGGATGGCGATGTCGTAAAGAATGATCTTCCTGTGAGCAGAGGTGACTTTAGCAGAGAAGTGTCCTTCGATGTACTCTCCATAATCCCTGAGTTCTTGTTCCCTGTGAGGGAAAGCGAATTTAATCGCTTTGACGGTGGCGTTCCAGGCGCTGGTCCATTCGCCACTCGTTTGGACTTTCTTTGCTGGATCTGATCGCCCAAGGGATATTTCAGTTGATCCCACACGTCCAACGTTCTCCTTAGGAGCGGAAATATGGTGCAGTGAGGAGAACACTGCGTCGAGGTTGACGGCTTGTCCCTTAATGATGTTGTCCCATTCTGAAGTGGGGAAACCGAGCGGCGCAGTCCTGGAATTTTGGATCCACTGTCTGACAACTTTGTAGTCACGGGCGAAGACTTGGAGAATTCGTCGAGATTCTTCGCAATCTCTGTTTCCGCTACGTCTGGCTTCTTCCTCTCGATTATACCAGGGCATCTCGGATTCGAAAACTCTTCGTTTCTTATTTGAGGGTTCGTCTCCATCGTCGTCATCATCAGATCCTGAAGGGGAGTTCCCCCTTTTCGACCTGTCGCTGTCTCTACTGATTGAGAGATGAGCTCGTCAATCGCTCTGTTAGCGTCAACGTTCTTGGGTTCACGTTGCTCCGGTTGAACAGATTTAGGGTCGAGTCCAACCGCGGCATGGTTTCCTCGCTTAATCGCTGAAGAAGAGAGGGCTGCGTATTCATCCAAGGTTTTGGCGTAGATTTCGATGGCACTGTCTTTCGCTCTGTTAGTTTTGGATGGATCGAAGTTGAGCGCTCCGATAATGTTCGATAACGCTTTGAGTTTCGTAATTTCTCCTCTCCTGAATTTATCGACCGTGTCATCCATATATCTGACGGATTCTTCTTCGAGTTGAGGTTTCTCTCCTCGAGTGAATTCGTCGAGGTCGTCATTGCTTGTGTTCTCATTGTTTCGAGCTGGCGCTTGGATTTCCCCAGTGTCATCGTAGAGGTTCTCATCCTGCGCAACAGAGTTGGCTCGGTCTCCAGTTCCAGGTCCATCCTGTCTAGTAGAGTTGGTTTGATCTTCGTCACTTTGTCCAACTGGATTTGATCCCATGGTGTTGGATGATCCATTTTCTGGGATTGCGCTCGCGAAGAGGTTTGCATGTCCTTCACTCATGAGATAGATTGAGGAACGATGAATACGTAGTATTAGTGTTGACGAAAAACGCGTATGTTAACACTGAATAGTGGAGTAAGATATCGAGACGAGAGTCTAGATAAAAAATTGGGGATCTTACCTGGTTGAGGAGTGAGATGTCGAGACGAGAGCCTATCGGAAAGGGGCGTCTCAAGCTCACTCCTCAACCATGAGGGGTAAGATCTAAAAATAAA